ATAAGGACTAGATAAATTAACAAATTGTTGCACATGCACACTAGGGAGATTTGTGCAACTGTAGGAAGAATAAGGAAGATGTGCATACAGAGTCATAGTGATCTTCAGGATGTATTATCAAAGGAAGAGAACAAGATGCAATAATGGTACATTCTGTGTAAAAAAGGGGAATTCAAATATGTATATCTTCATATGTTGCCAAGAGAAAAAAAAAAGAAGACATATCTTATGAAGGAGACAAGCAATAGGTTAAAAGGAGAAAGATGAACATAAATTTCTTTGACTATACCTTTAAAAATAGTTTTGACTTCGAGATTATGTAAATGACTATATACTTAAAAAGAAACTTTAAATGTTACAGCAATCTTTTAAAAAGTTATGTCTATATCTATCTATCTATATATAAAACTATATATATGTGTTATATATAGTTTTGCTATAAGGGTGCATGCACTCACTAGAGAGACATGGGGGGGGGAGGGAGAAATTACCCCCCAGGGGGATGGTTATGCTACAATCTCTTAGCCTCCAATCTTCTTGGGATTTTGGGCACATAAGCACATAAAACTGGTGTAACTCTCAAGTCACCGAGTCCGGGACACTACCGCACAGTTGGCAATGAAGGATTTAGAGCCTTCACCTCCATGCCTCCTGCTAGCCTGAACTTATTTCTAAAGGAAGAAATCACTAAAAATTGAAGTAAAAGAACAAACCAAAACAAAATAAAAAAATCTGAAGTGAATGAACTTAATTCTGTATTACACTGGTACACAGAGAGAAGTGTTACATGACTTTAGAATGCAGTATGTAGACATCCACCATGTGATAAATTTGAAGGAAAAATATTCCAGTTTTATTTAGTGGCCTTATTGTTAGAAACACCATTGAAATTATAACGATAAAGAAAATACCTAATTATGTAAGGGGTCTAAAAAATCATAATTTTAGTACAAAATAAAATATATTTACTATATAAAGTTAGTAGTCTTAAATTTGAATTGAAAACACTGGTATGAACTCATGATATTTTAAAACAATATGTATTTCCTGTCTCTGAAAGGTCTAGAAGATATGATCGGCTGGTTACAATGAGCCCCACCAACCCTGAGTGCCCAGGATATGATCTTTATTTCTTTTTTAGAGAGATTTTTGCTATAGGGCATGTGCACTTGCCAGAGACACAGAAAGTAAGAAATCACACCCCTCTTCCCAGGGGGATGGCCATGCCACAATTCTTTCTCCTCCGTTCTCCTCTCAGGATCTTGGGCACACGAGCTCACATGCCTGGCGTGAGATTCAAGCCTCCTAGTTGGGACTTGGATCGTGGTCAGCCATGTGGGAGTCTAGTGACATAACCATTACACCACCTGCTGTTCCCAATATGGTCTTTAAATACTATCTGATTGTAAATGAAACCAAGGTCCTTGTAAGAATGGTTCCATATGAATTTCTGAAAGAAGACACAAGATGAACCTGTAATATCCTGTTCTATCAGAAAAAGGGCAGTCAACAAAAACTAGTGTCCTATGTCCTATGGGCCCCAAAGGCCTAGAACATGAAGGGCTGGCCACATCAAATATGGATCAATATTAGATTAAAAAAGAGTAATGACTATAGGTGACTGAAACATACCAAATATAGAGAAATTTATGCTTTCATAATAACACTTAGAAAAGAAAGAACAGGGAAGAAAGAAATGGAGAGAGAGAGAGGAGTAAGGGGAAAAGAAAGAAAAGAAATGATGAATCTGTTTTGTATTGGAACTAGCTAAGGGACAATTTTCTCTGAAAATCTATAATTAAAAGAAGAAAAGAGACATTTATTCTACTTTCTTAGAGTATAGCTAAATAGTCTGAAGGATGAGAAGTGCTTCTTTCCAGAGTTCCAGCTACTTAATGAGCAAAGATTGCTAGAATTAGAGTATTGCCATTTTGAATATCCTAGGAAATATTTAATTTAGGCAATGATCATGGATAGATGAAACCATTAGATAAAAAGCCAGTAGGGGAATTGACAATGTAGAGATCAGGTTGTTAGAATCAGCTGTTCAATTTAGCATCCCTACGAGTGGGACAAGACCTCATCTCACTTATCTGCAGTCATATTAAATGGATGGATCTACATAGGAAATGAGAGAGAGAGAGAAAAAAAGAGAGAGAGTGGGAAAATAAGAGGAGGACAAGAAGGAGGAGAGGAATAACTGTTCCATTTTCACAACAAAAAAGTGGAAATGGAATCTATTCATCCTTGGTAAGGAACCTCTGGCTACAGGACACAGGGGGTATAGGAACAAGTCAAGTAACCCCACAAGGAAATAAACAGGCACTTCTCTAGAGCAGGGTTTGGCACGTGACAACTGACTGGGTTTTGTCAATAAGGCAATAGCATTCAGGAGAAAAGGGGGGGTGAGAGGAATATTCTAAATTAAAAAGATATTTAGTCAATAATGACAGGAGGAAATGAGTGGTTTCCCAGGGATGGGGAGAGTTGGTAGGGGGGGACACTGAAGGGTGCGGGCACACTTTTAACGCTGATGGACATGCTCATTATCTTAATTGTGGCAATAGTTTCACAGGTGTGTGACACTTTACCAAACTGTCCACTGTAAAAATATAGTTTATTGTATGTCACTTATGCCTTAATAAAGCTGTTAAGTTTTTTTTTTTTTAGATTTAAGAGACATGATTGAAAAATGCATGCATAGTTCCTCTAAGTGAGTTTTTTTTTTTTTTCATCAAAACTATAGTAAAAAGACATTTTAGGAAAATTTGGGGAAATTTGAATGTGGCTGATGATTAGATATTAAGACATTAATATTATCAGGAGTGACAATGGCATTATGATTATAAAGTGGAAAATATATTTTAATGTAAAATTCTCATCAAAGTAATACATACAGGGAAGTGCATGGGCCACAGGTATGTGTACAATGATCACAGGTACGTAACCCAGATCCAGACCCAGAAAAAAGCATTCCTACCATTCCAGAAGTCCTCAGTTGACTCTTGTAGGCACCATCACCTCCAGTGATAACCACAGGCCCAAAGAAGAACCTGTATTTTAATATCAAAGATTACTTTTCCCTGTTTGGGGACCTTATACAAATGGAATCTCACAGTGTATATTTGAATTAGGCATCTGGCTTCTATTATTCAACATTATGCTTGTGAAATTCATCCCTATTTATACTGTACAGGTGCATATAGTGTGAAGTATATGGGAGTGAAACGACACAAAGACTGAGATACACTTTGAAATACTTCAGTTTCAGTAAAAGGGGGACGATGAATGTGACAACCTCTTGAGATTTGTTGAATCTGAGTGATAAGTATGTGGGGGCTTATATTACTCTCTTTCCTTCTGGGTATATTTAAATGTTTTTCTATTAAAAATATAAAGAAATAGATTGTAGAACAAAGTCATAAAGCAGCTCTGCTGTGGCAGAGAAACTGCTATACACCACGGCATTCTTTCTTCTTGGGCAAACAAGCACAGGATATTTCCCAGACTCGTTTGCAGTGAAATGGCAGCCATACGACCAAGTTCTGGTAAAGATAATATGGGCAGAAGTAGCGTAATCCACTTCTGGAGCTCTCTGGAAGCACAAAATAAAGCTCTAATATGTTGATGCTGACATTTCTACCTTCCTGTGGCCTAGCCTAGCCTAATATCAAATTTGGAACCACAGACAGCACTGCATCCTCAGCATTCAAAGTGCTTGGCTACAATGGCATCCAAGACTACATCACATGCTTCTTTGGTCCTTAAAGTGCTTGCCCAGCCACTTCTACTAGAAGATCTCAAGACCATGAATTGATTTTAATGATTCTTCTCCTATATTTTCTTGTCAGTGTTTTAAAGTTTGCTTTTGTCATTTTGGTTTTCATTCAGTGGGGATTTATTTTCTTAGTTTGATGGGAGGTAGGGATATACTATTATGTTTTCCTCAGTAAATACTTATTCAGCCCCATTTCTGGATCAGTCACATTTCCAAGATCCTACACAGATTTCTAGAAATGTTTGCTTGATGAAATTTTTGAAGATGTATATAGGATTTGTTCTGTAATTTATGACCAATTTCCAGGAGTGAATTGTCTTGTAATACAAGTATAGTCATGAAAATCACTAGGATTTTATAACAGACAATAACTACTTTGAAACTTTACTGCTTCCCATAATCTGGCTCTTTATCTTTTTTTCACCTACTTTTATTAGAACACGAAATGGGCGGATTGTGTGGTAATCATCAATGCCATCATGATCCTATACAAGCGTAACCCTGGCACAGTCCCTCAACCCCTCCAGCAGCTTGCTATTACACTTTGGATCATATTCTGTGTTCTGATCTCCTAGGTCCTGTGCAGTATACCATGGAGGTCTCCCCAAACTCTTTTCCTTCCATTCTGTGCTGAACTCCCTTACTTCAGCACACCCCTTCCAAGGGTCTCAAATATGACATTCCAGATCCTTTCCCAGCAGCTAGAGGTCCTTCCTCCCAAGAGAGACTTTTCTCCTTTACAGCAGGTATTTTGCCAGTTTTTGTTTCTAGAATAGTGCCTGGAGATAAAACGTGCTCTAAAAACATTGCTGAACGAATGCATATTCTATTATAGACAAGTTGTACCAAGCAATCCTAGCAGTATATTTGGTAGCTAAATGTGATATAGAATTTTAAAAACAACCATCTTTGCTATCAATCTGGGAATGTTTTTGAATCATAACTAGAATGTTAGCCCTACTATCACTTCTTTTATAACCAAATAGGACTCCAGTCTTGGGAAAAACAGCTTGGAAACAAGACTTGTTTCCCTTGTCTTTCCACATCTTCACTCCAGCATCTGAGTTGTCTCCAGTTTCTGGTTCTTCTCTGCTCAGCTACCTGTAAGTCTGCTCAAACTACTGAGTAACCCTTTCACATTGGCATGGCTCTACTGTTCCCCAGGCACAGATTCTGATAGTCATCTTCAGAAACTCCAACTCCTAGCTTTATGAGCACATACCTGTCCCTCTACAATCCATCTGGAGATGGATGTCTTCCCATCATAGCCTGGTCGAAACTGAAGGGTGGCTGAGCGAGGGCTGATGTTGGAAATAACCAGATTAGATGGGGCACCTGGAAGATCTAGAGATGAATAAGAGAGGAAAGATAGAGATTTAAATTCTATCACAACTTAGGGAAGCAATCAAACATGTGGATTCTATACCAAAAAGGATTTGTTTTCAAAACCAAGGAAGTGGAAAGCATCACAATGTCCCCAGGAACACCAACGGGACTTTTTACTTACAGAGGGTCATCTGTAAGTGGCATTAGGAGACACATTGTTAATATGACTTGCTAGATGATAATAAACTCAAGGTAAGAACCATGTTATACCTGTCTTGGTACATAATAGGTAATTAATAGACACTTGTGGAATGGAAAATGTAATTTTCCCTGGTTCCTGAAACAACACAAAGAATTAAATATCCATGCTCCTTTTCAAGATTACCATATCTTGGAGAGCAACATAGGCAAGTGTGGGTGTAAGAGTATACAACCCCTGTATTGCTGTTAGGCAGTGTAACACAGGGAAGTGCTCAAGTCTTAAGCCTTAGGCTTCCTGAGTCTGGTTTCTAAGACAAATGACTTCAGGTGAAAGTGCAGAACTCTTTCCACTCTACCTGTATTAATATTTAATTGCTCTGGGAACTAAATAAGGTGGAAGGTGAGTTCCGAATGTGACTCCCATCATCTGAGGATACCTGTGGCTTAAATCTACTCATAGACTAGAGACCCTGTAGTAGGCTACTCTTCCAGGAGCCTTTCCCCACTTGGAAGTTTATTATTGCACAATGTGAAATGCTCTAGAGAGGAAAAAACTGGGATAAAAAGAAGGAAAGATAAATACAATGCAAGTGCAGTTTTCAGACCACACCGTTTCTGAGTGGTTTCCTAACTTGCCATTGCTTGGGGTATTTAAAATTAGGTCTTCCAAAAGAGACAATAAAACTACTTTGGTTATCAATTCAGTATTGGTATAGGCAGGGTCTCTAGGACCATAAGAGTCCTTTTCACATGTAGTTTAACAAATTTCAAGGAGTAAATGTTTACATCAAAGGACAAGTGACTCTTCTATTTCTCGGCTCTCTTGATTTTTAAAATTATTTTTCAGTCATTAATAGACGTGAACTTCAGGTATAGCAAACAGAATACAACTCCCTGAAAAAGTGATCATCATTTTGCTCTGACCAATACTTTGAATGCTCAGAAGTTGTCTTAGGACAGTCTTTGGATATAGGTAATGTGCCCTGGCAATGAAGTTGCAGCAACTCCACCACTTTGGTTATCAGGGTGATTTAGTCAATACAGCTCAGTCTTATTTTTCCCTCTAGTTTGTCCCTCTATAGTTCCAGGTGTGCTGTGAATTATAGTGCAGCTGGATGTAGATGCTTTCCAGAGGTCAGCTAACAAATTTCCCCAACCTCGATGAATAGTATTCCAGCTATCACAAGAAAAATCTGATAACTTACAATATGTGCTTCCAATGTTACCATCAGTTGGTGAAATTTTTAACAAATTAGATAATATGCCATCATTATCACTGCACAGTTTTGAAAACAGTAGTGATATTTTAAACATGTTCTTTGAGAACTGGCTTTAAGTAGTTTTAAATATGCATTGTGGGAACTGAAAATTTGTGTAAAATAAGTGGGAAAAATGGAATCTTTCTTTAAGTCAAAGATTTCTTTCTTTAAAAATAATGCATTTTATTGTTTTTTATTTTATTTTGTAAATGCATATTTGTAAAATATGGAACTGCCTTAGAGTAATTGTTCTCAAAATGGAGTTCTGACCAGTAGCCATCAGTATCACCTGGGAATTTACTCTAAAAGGCAAATTTTTGTGTCTCACCCCAGATCTGCATATCAGACACCTGTGGTGGGGCCCTGCAGCCTGTTGTCTGACAAGCTCCTGTGATTCTGATGCACAGAGCAGTCTAAGAACCACTGTCCTAGAAGGAGGACAATGGTGACTGGTTATACATGGACAGAAGGCTTGCTTATGGCTCCCTCTGCTGATAGGGGAGGTAGCTCAAAGCTTACAACACTGCCTTTAGGGAGTGCCACATAAGGTCACAGTGTTCAGAGCAGAGGCGCCACATCATTGTGACTTTAATACTCCTTCTCTGTCTCCAACTGTTGACAGTTAAACTATGCATTTAGAGCAGGACTCATGAGAAGAGGGAAAAGAATGGAGAACATATACATTATTCCCAAAGGGAATTTTTTTAACTGCATAAATGTTTTTTGTATTCTCTTCAGGTCATGCACGTTACCTCCCTACGCACACCCCCCAGGAAACCAATTCAGTTATGAAAATTGATCTGGATGTGAGGATACTATAGGGGATAAAAGCTGATTTCAAATGGATCTTTCAGGCCCTATGCATGAGGCAGTAGCACTTTTCTCAAAGACCCAAACAAGGCAAACTGACAGCTTTAAATGCAAGAGACTTACAGCTTTAATTAGAGGACTGTATTGATAGTCCCATGATAAATTCTCACATTCTCAGGTATTTGTGAATTCCCTTGAAAAACACCTTTATTTTAAACGTAAACTTTAAAATTGGAGAGAATGAGTTGAGTAGCAATTTTCTAAAGCTGAAATGAGTGTGCCGAACATTTAGGAAGATAATCTGAATTTCAAAAGGACATGAAAACAGGCATAACTACACTAAAGCAAATTCAACAATAGCAGCTTGCATAATGTGAGTATTTGCTCCTCATACTCAACTTAAATTCTACTCTCTCCCTCTTCTTTCCACCTTCTCCTGCTTCTTTTTATTATTGCAAACTCAAATTTTTGTTTTGTTAAGTGAATAAAGTTTTATGTGTCCTATTATTTATTTTAGTATGAATATTCCCTATTTTCCTATTTTACTCTGGAAAAAAAAAAGTTTGCATTTTACTGCTGTGTGGTGGTTGGTGTACTGGTTCCCTGCAGGCAGGAGAGTCTCATGGCTCCTGTAATCAAGCTCACACTCTGGAATCCAAATCTCTCTCCTTCCCTATCAGCACAACTCCACTAATCCATGCTCTGACAGAAGAGATGTTAAACCACGATCAAATGCACTGAAAAACAAGGCTGAAGTCCGGTCAACAGCACTTACCCTCAAGCATCTTAGCAGGCAGCTGATACCCCCTTTCCAAGGCAATTGTTGGCTTCTGCACAAAAACGTTGATCAACTTCGCGTGTTAGAAATCTCTAAGGGAAAGGCAACAGCAGGAAAACTGCATACTGTTTTACTGACCTGGGGGGACTCCAGAAGAGATGGTGGACGACGTCGCCAGCCCAGCCCCCACGGCGGTCAAGGCAGCCACATCAATGGTATAGGTGGTGAGAGACGACAGGCCTTTGATTTTATACTCATGAGTTGTGCTGTTGAGAGTGTGCGTGAGACGAGAGTCGTTCTTCCCATACACCTCCCAGGAAATCTGATAGCCTAGGAAGTGATGATACAAGAGATGATCTAGGGTTGCTGAAAGCGACCCAGGGCTAAAGCTGGATGCCACGTTATCTTCATAGATTTGGATCAAGGGAATAGCTAGATCTGCTGAAGTCTCATGAGAATCTAATGCCCTACTAAAATGAAATTCAGAGCCATGGCTCCTTTAACTGCTCTTGTTCCCACTGTGCTCCATCTCTTACTGGAGACAGGGTAACCTCAGTCCCTGGGGCATGGATTAAAGAAAGATGAAAGATGATTGCCAACCTGCTGTGCCCTATTTAACTTTCTCTTGTCAAATTATAGATGCATTTCATCAATATTTTCATTTTTATAAGCTGATATTTTCATTACATACCCCTTATATCAGTGGCTTGCTCTTGAGTTGCAACTAATTTGTGGAAACACTTCTACTTTTCCCTTTATGGAATGATTGAAAGAACACTTCCATTTTGCAAAGTGCTTTGCCTGGAAAGTTTCTTTTTACCTGAGCGCATGAGTTTCGCTTCTAGCCCTGCCTTTTCTCTTTTTGAATTTCCTGTTTTCCTAGCAAAATCTGATTTTCCCCTATACTTCGTTCAGTCCAGCAGGGCCTCATAATTACAATTTATTCAACCTTGGATTCTGTTGTGATTTGGGGCTTAGAGGAAAAAGACCCAACTTAGCTCCTGAATCAAGCCCCTTGGAGGGGAGTTTATGTGATTAGAGAAGGCTTAAAAGTGTCTTTTAAAGAGGAAGATCATGATGGAAAGACCTCACAGGCCCAAAGGCAAAGGAAAACTACTAAAAATGCTTGCTCTTCCTTTCTTTTCAGTCAATATACCCAGGAATACAGAAGCACTAGGATGCATCTTAAACTTTTCTTCTCACTCTGATGAAAGTAATAAATAAAGTTAGGAACTTGCACTTGCAGGTAAACAAGAATTTATAGGTGAGTGTCTTGGGACTTCAATATTTCAAAATAATAATAATAATTTACCATCAGAACCTGCTCCCTGCTCATGATCCTGTATTGTACAAACAGCCCAGCATCTTTTGCTCACTGGCAGAGGTGGCTCTTGTGATGTTGAGGGATAGCAAAGGGATAAAGGCACCAGACGGGCACTCGGTCATAGGGTGCCTCGAAGGCACAGAGTGCCCCGAATCATGTGGACTCACTTAGTAGATGCTGCTCTCTGCACTTCTGGCTCTGCCCCAGGCCCTCTGTGGCCTTCCTTAAGAATCTTCTCTTGGCCCAAGTCTGCTCCCTGTCACTTGCTGAGCACTCAGGCTGACCACTAATCACTGCCTTTTCCCCAACCCTCCCTCTAATTCTTGATCTTCAAATTTCTTTCCTACTGATCTGCCCACCCTGATGTTCAGCCTGCTCATTCTTAATGGACTAGCACTGAAATCATGATGCTCTCCACCAGTTTTTTTTTTTTTTTTTGAGAAGTTTTTGCTATAGGGCGTGTGTGCTCGCCAGAAAGACAGAGAGAGACAGAGACAGAAAGCGAGAAATCACCCCCCAGGGGGGATGGTCACGCTGCAATCCCTTCTCCTCCATTTTCCTCTTGGGATCTTGGGCACACACGCACATGTGCCCAGCTTGAGTTTTAAGTCACCGGGTCCGGGACTCGAACCGCGGTCGACTACATGGGAGTTCAGCGACATAGCCATTATGCTAACTGCTAGTCCCTCCATCAGTTTTGTCTTTGACTAATTTAGAAACTTGGAAATGGTTATACAATTAAAAAAGCAAAAACTTTCTGGGCAATGAGTTCTAATGACATTAAATACATAGAGAGTATCCACAATATTCCTGACAGTGTCCTAAGCACTTTGCATATATTAACTTGTTTGTTATCCTCATTTTACAAAGGAGGAAACCAAGGCATACAAAGCTTTAGGAACTTGCTAGAACCAGGGCAGTCCTGTTCCCGAGTCCAGGTTCCTCCTGTAGGCTATGATGTCCTGCCTCCCAAAGGAGGACTCCTTCTTTCTCCACCACGTGTCCTTGATATGTCTGAGGAAACTTGAAAATCATTCCTGATCTTGGTAGTATATGCCTGATAGATTACTAAATAATTCAATATTCAGGATCTTCTCTGAAGGTCTGGGAAGAGGAGGCTTTGTTTAATAATACAACCTTGTCTGCCAGAAAATTGTATTTGTATAAAAGCTGTTTTTCATAAAAATTTACAAAAACACAGCATCTTGTTCATCATACAAACCTAGAGCTGAAACACAGCAGTCCCAGTATTCTCAGTAAATGCAGCATTGCTAGGATTTATTAGTATCAAAATTGACAGTACAGTTTGCTCAAATCATTACAAATACAAACAAAAACTAAACAGACAAACATAGAGCTGGATATGCTCAGGCAAGGTACATGAAAAACACCCCCAGAAAGGCAGCACTGGCCCAGCACTCATGCTAAAGGATAGCACAGGACCTCACGAATACACAGATGGACAGGGCAACGGGCATGTGGCAGGAAAGCTGCCCTCCAATTTGCACACAGATTTTTGGGTTGTGTGTGGTGGGCACTGGCAGGTCTGGCCACAAATGTTTCATCTGGCTCCAGTGTGTGAGAGGAGAGAGGAGGAGGAACCAGAAGCTGGAAGCCGGGGGCGCCTCTAGCTTGGCGTCCTACCTGCTCCGAATGGCTGCCTAACTGAGACTAACGACCAGAGGAGCTTCAGAAATAATTTTCTGTTGATCTGAAGTAAATTCCCTACAAGAGAGCAGTACATCCAATCACAAACTGTCTGTCTGCATCCTGGCCCTCATAAATCAGAGTTTACAGAAGGAGAGTGGAAGATACCGAAATTTACAATGAAAGTGCAATGGGCAATTTACTTGGTGGGTCTATGGCCGCTGCCTACTCAATACTTCCCACTCATTCTGAGGCCCTGAATTAAAACAGAGACTGGGGGGGAGGGTTGTTCACTATAGACCAAGGCTAATAAAGCCTTTTGTCACAAGGTGGTATGGTCCATAGAACTCGGGCTGTCATCTGCTCCCAGCAGCACCTCTAAAAGCAGCAGCCACCATTAGCAGGAAGTCTGCAAAATGTAATGCCATTTCAACATTTTCTAAAACTGGTTTTTGAAGGTTATGTTTGCCTACATAGTTTTTCTTTTGCTGAACTTGATAAAATACTGTCCCTTCAGCATAAGATAGAACCACATGGTGATGAGAGCATATTCTACTGGAAACTCGTGTGGATTTGGGAGGCCCCAACAGTCAGGGCAGAGCATTCAGTGCTAGGTGAGCTCCACTGAGGGCAGGTGTCATGGAGGTGATGGGGTGATATCTAGCTAATGAAACAATAACTGTCCAAGTCCACCTCCTGCATGAGCCTTCTCCTCTCTAGAGTTTCTCAGAGACAGAGCTGTAGGCATTTACCACAGCTTCTGGTGACACTAATACCTTTCATAGTGTAGGCAAGAATGGGGAAAAAGCACAATGAGACACACACACAGAGCGAGAGAGAGAGAGAACATGGGTGCTCTGAGAGTCTCTCTGAAGCCCTGACCTGGACCCTTGCTGCGAACTGCAGCATGCCATCTCCATACTCAGGCCTCCGTAGGGACAGGTTCAGCTGAATTCAGCTGGGAAAAGTCAGAGTTTTAAGGGCTGAGTTCCACAATAAATAATAGACTATGGCTTGTAACTGCAGGTATCTGTTTAAATAAAATATGAAAATGAGTTAATTAAGTTCTATTAGCTGGTGAAAACAGATGATCATAAATTGGAAGTCGTATTGGTAACCACCGCTTAGCTGTGAAATATTGGCTCAACTCAAGTGATTATGCCCATGGATTTTTCTTCATGCTTTAAAACAAGAATGGCATGTGCAGTGTGTTCGGAAAGGACAGGGCAGGGGTTAAATGTGTGTATCTGTAAAAAGGGAAGATCTCTTGTATCAAAACTGTCTACCAAGGAGTGTTAGCCAGATTCTAAAACACACAGATTGTGGCTCTGAAAGCCAACTGGGCAGATGTGAATTATCTACCTCTCTCACCCACGCAGCCCACTTCTGAAATCAATGGTAAGTACAACTCTAATTCAGTCCATGGAATTGGTCCCCAAGGGGTCTGAGCTGGAAAGACTTTTTCTTTCAAATAGTAGCCTCCCGCTAAGCTTTTTTTTTAAAACCCCCCTCCCCACAGTCTGTGTAAGTTTGTTTGTTTCTCTTCCTTCTTTTGGTTTGAAGCAACTAAACTAGGTTCTTGCTATCAGTTACCTCCCTTTTCTGCCTTCCTTGTTTAACTCCTTCCACTCCAAGCATCCTTATTCTTCCAAGCAATACATGTATATTTACTTTCCATATTTGGCAGTTACTGAATTACATGAAAGACTTCAGCGCATACAATAGATCTTGGGTATAATATCCAATTTCAACAGTGACTTTTTCCCATTCCTGGAGCTATTACATTGTTTAAAGTGGGTACTTCAAAACAGAAGCTTCTTGAAAGCAGAGCAAGATTCCTAAGTTTACTTTATTTAAATTTGGGGTTAGAGGTGGCATCAGCTTAAAGATTCCCTTGTGTGCCATGATCTGAGTACACCAGTCTATAAGGAGATCTGTCTGAGATGGACTACTACAGAATATGTTACCAATAGTGCTGAAGTTGGTGCCCGGTTTGCTGTGTAACTAGAGAGAACACAGAAATTCTATGTAGTAACAGTTTTCAAGCTGTACCCTGGAATGCCTGTGACACTACGGTGACCTCTCAGGAGCACCGCAGGGAAACACAAGAACCACCTGTCCCATGCCATGAACCACATGCCTTTGGATCCATTTTATCTTTGCAGAGCAGAGTTTATGGGGGTCGCTGTGATAAGAAAACAAATATCACGTGAAAACCAATATGGACTAGGAAATGAAGGTGACAGGGTCCAATCTGATTCCAGGGTTTGAGAAATTAGGCAGTGTCCAATGGGCATACAAACTCCATTAGGAACTAACAAGTTATTGAAAAAGTAAGTGCAGAGTTCTTTTCTTTCAATTAATCTGTACTATTTTTTAAATGACCAAGTTGTTAGTATATAAATATTTAAGTTGTTTGGACCTAACTATTTAATAAACAAAACTGTCAGGTACTTCTGCGCTCTAGGGCTCCTTGGAGAAACTTACTAAGACACTAAGAGGACTGTAGATGGGAAAAGACAAGGGATCCGGCTGAGTGGCGTTAGGAGCATGGTTCAAGCCCCACCCTCAGCACACTGATGATGCAGAGAAGATCCCTGTGTAGGCTTGGCTACCTGTGGGCTGTGGCACTGTGGGACATTACTGTCCTATGTATCAGTCTCACCATAGCCAAGATAGAGTTATAAGACCTACCTGATATCGTTGTTGAGAAAACGAGACAAGAACCTGCAATGCCTGCACATGAAAGGTACCCAGGGGCATTGTTGATGCTTCTGTCCAAGACACTGGTGGTGAAAGGAAGGGGCCTCTCTGCACTGCAGCCAGGCAACAAGGGCAGAGACCCCTGTTCTTGATCTCCATGCCACACATTCCCTGCATCTTGAATATTCCTGGCCAGTATGAGTTTGTGTCACAGAACTGTCAGGCTCTCAAGGAATCACACAGCCTCTGTGGGCGGTGCGAGAATGTAACCACCACCTCTGTGACAGTAGAGCTCAAGCTCTAAGCTGCCTCATGAGTGTGATGAAAAATAACTTATTTGGACTGCCTGAAACCTCAGGATTCCATTGTTAAATATCTAGGTGAGAGACCCTGAGGGACCTGGAATGTCACAAGTAATATCCCTCAAGAGTTTCAACATATTCAGGTCTAGCACATGGGTGACCAAGCAGTAATATTAAGTGGCTTGCTTAAAATTTCAAGTAATGTTTTCTGAAAGGATGCTCACTATCAGTAAAGTGGCAGAAAGGACAAGAAAAGGTTTTAAAGGCACCCTAGCTATCATCACATAAATTATTTTACCCAGCTTCATCCCAGCCACAGGGCTGAGCTGTTCTGAGTCAGACAATGAGCCAGCCACTTGATACATCAATCCTCCTGACAATCCCAAGAGGGATAGTGTGATGCCCACAGTTGAAATGACGGTCTGAGAGGTAAGTTGAGGCTCCCATAGTGACAAAAATAGTGCAACAGGCGGCCTCTCTCCTAGGCTAAAACCTATGGTAGTTTTATCAATCCAAGATTTTTTTTTTCCTAATTAAGACTTAAACTAAACTTTAATCTGAAAGATTTTTCAGAAATCTCTAAAAAAATAAAAATAAATAAAAAAAAACACTGTAACTGCAAAAGGTGGGCTGTTTCTCCAGAGACACCCTAAATCTTAAGAGGAGAGTTTATCATAAAGAAGTCAGTGCTCAACGGCTACCTGCTCCCTGTGCACAACTCAGAACTTCCTCAGAGGATGGTGTTTCTGGCTCCACTTGCCTCTCCTTATCCACAGGTATCCTCACCAGAAAGCACTGTGGGGGGAGGGTGCAGCAAGGGGTTAGAGACCCAGATTTCATACTGGCCTGGCTGCTCCCTGCTTTGGGATGAAAGCTAAGACATACCATGCATCATGATTACCACTCTATTAGAGAAGTGCTAGAAAAGTGCCCGTGCACAGTAGGTGTTCAGTGCTTATTTACTGAATAAGGGACAGGTCATTTACCCACTCTGAGCCTCAGTTTCCTAATATGTAAAATATTAGTGTTTAGATTACTATGTTGCTAATAAGAATTAAGTGAGATTGAACAAATATAAAATGTATATGAACCAAATAAACATAAAATGATGATTATCATTGACCAAAGAGACTTCTAAGACCTGTTGAGATATCACAAGGGGAATAAATCTCCAGACTTTGAGGCTAGAGTCCATGCAGTGAAAAGGCCCCACACCAAGCTGGCTCTCAGTTCCGGGTGCTGTGAGTCGACACATGGTTAGGAGGACATTTCGGTTATCTTCAAGAAGGCCGCAGGCATAGGTCTACTCTGTCAGCAGTTTTATTTGAAGCTCTATCTACCTCTTTTTATTAGAACAAACTTATTTTTTTTCTTTTTCAGAAGACAGGGATACTTACCTGTAATAATGCCATTTTTCTCTAGGGGTTCCTGCCAGCTGACCTTGAGAGATGTGTCCAGAATCTCTGTGAAACTCAGATGTCCCACAGCTCCTGGCTCTACCAATTAAAAATAAAGTAATCTGTTAACACAATAGTACAATTATCTTTTGATCATATTTATATAGAAGGTTCTAACTATGGAAGGGAAGTGGTCAGCCAGGGCCAGCAGAAACTTACAGGAAACATCAGTAAAGTTGCAGAAAGGACAAGAAAACACAAGGTGTTAAAGGCACCCTAGCTATCATCACATAAATTATTGTACCCAGCTTCATCCCAGCCACATGGAGAACTAAAGTAACTGCCAGCAGGAGATTTATATACAACTCATTTTGTCTTTCTCCTTGATCTTATCTAATTAGAACAATCAGGCTGGCTGGATCCTGAAAAGCAATCGCTTGTACCAAGCATCCCTTGAGAGGCACTCACAGCTTTGTGGCTTGCTTGTATGGGAGACATAAGAGGCCCTGTAAAAGCCAGAGCAGGAGAGCTTTGGCTCCCATGCAGGGTCAGGCCATACCTGGCCACAGTGCAATGCCTGCTGACCTGATCCAGAACTTCAGGCTCTAAACCCTCACTCATCCTTCAGAAGGATTCCAGAGGGCCAGGGCAGTGGATGGACAAAGTCTCAGAAAAATGGGTTCCTTTCTTAGAAGTTCCTTTTCACTATAACCCTCCTGTTAATACAGGAGGGTAGAGCAGCGGTCTTATGCCTAAGTGCTGGAATCAAACCTGAGTCTGAGGCACAGTCACACTCCTTGTTAGCTGTGCAATTAAAATCTCAAAGTCTTAGTTTGCTCATCTGGGAAATGGAGCACATGAAGTCAAGGATATTGGCTGTCCTACAAGAAAATAGGGTTTGCAGGACTTCTGCAGAGAAGCCTCATCCCTGAAAGTCCTTGTTCTGCTATTGCCAGCCTGGCTTGCCCGGACAGCAGATTTTTTATGGTAATTTAAATACCTAGTACTCAATTGGTACCTGGACAAAGCCTTCTAACACAACTTGTAATTTTTAAAAAATGGTAACACCCTCAGAAAATACACTCATCTGGGTGAAACTTTCAAAAGACTTTATAGAGAAAACACTGACAAATCTCACTTTTCTAGCCTAGAAGACGGTAAAATAGAATGGCTGTCAAGACCATTTCATCCTCCCTCAATTGTTAGCTTCCAAAAGACATTCTGACGGATTTTTGAACTAACTTGTTCTTTTCTCGATCGATGGAGTAGCAAAGAAAGCTTTTTGCTCCTTTTATATTCTCAGTGTTTCTGCTTCCTGGATTCCTGCCCAAATATGCTGTCCTCCAGCTCTGCTGGAACCAGCTGGCAAGGTCTAGATTTAAAATTTATATTCTGTTTCTTCTTCTTATCTCCCATCCCCCAACTAGTAGTTCTTATTTCACTGTAGCTTTGGAAAAGAAGTCTTGCTGGATGTGGAACTCACTACAGCAACATCAACTAGACAGAAATGGAGGTTATTCCTCTAGCACCCAAGAGTCCCAGCTTTTCTTTTAAAAACTTCACTCCCAGAGCTGACTTCAACTTTACCTCCACCCTTTAAATGTGATATTCCACATGTAAGAGGATGCTCTATCCTTCTAAATAGAATAAATAGGCTCACTACATATTTTTAAAAATGGTGTTTATTCTGAAGAGATGATACCACTTCCAGTTTTCTCTGATGGGGGGCACACAAAATATATGACTGGAAAGCAAATTCCATAGCAAAATACACATATTTGTAAAGCACTCATTGAACATTCACCAAGATAAATCATATCTTGGGCCATCGAACAAACTTCAACAAGTTTAAAAGAACAGAAATTATACAAAGTATGTCCTCTGATCATAATGGAATCAAACTAAAAACAGTAGCAGAAAGAAAACAGGCAAATTTGTAAACACAGAAATTAAAGGGACCAGCAGTTAGCGTAATGGCTATATCGCTGGACTCCCACGTAGTTGACCGTGGTTCGAGTCCTGAACCCAGTGGCTTGAACTCATGCCGGGCATGTGTGTGTGTGTGTGCCCAAGATCCCGAGAGGAGAATGGAGGAGAAGGGATTGCGGCGTGGTCTAGATTTAAAATTTATATTCTGTTTCTTCTTCTTATCTCCCATCCCCCAACTAGTAGTTCTTATTTCACTGTAGCTTTGGAAAAGAAGTCTTGCTGGATGTGAACTCACTACAGCAACATCAACTAGACAGAAATGGAGGTTATTCCTCTAGCACCCAAGAGTCCCAGCTTTTCTTTTAAAAACTTCACTCCCAGAGCTGACTTCAACTTTACCTCCACCCTTTAAATGTGATATTCCACATCCCTCTGGGGGCTGATTTCTCGCTTTCTATCTCTCTGTCTCTCTCTCTCTGTTCAGTGAGCGCACGCACCCTATAGCAAAAACCTCTCCAAAAAAAGAAAAAAGAAAAAAGAAAGAAATTAAATAGCACACTTCTAAATAATTCATAGGTCAAAGAGAAAAATCTTGAAATAAAAACACACAGAAATGAATGAAAATGAAAGTCCAACATCTCAAAATATGTGGGATGCAGCTAAAGCAGCGCTAAGGCAAGAATTTATAACACTAAATGCTGACATTGCAAATGAGGAAAGGCCTCAAATCAATAATCTAAATGCCTATCTCAAGACATTAGGAAAAGGAGGACAGAATAAATCCAAAAGAAGCAAAAAGGAAGGGAAAAATAAATAACAGAAGTTAATGAAATGAAAAACAGTAAACAAAAGAGAAAATCAGTAAAACAAGAAGCTGGTTGTTAAAAAAAAATAAAATTGATGAGCCTCTAGTAATAGTGACAAGTGTAAAAGATAGAAGACACAGATCACCAATGTTAGAAATGAAATAGAGAATATCACTGCAGCCATTAAAAAGACAATAAGGGGAATCAGTAGATGTTGTGGTGTAATGGCTACATCGCTGGACTTCCACATAGTGGACTGCGGTTAAAGTATTTAACCTGGTTGCTTAAAACTCATGCCAGGCACATGAGTGCATGAGTGTGTGCATGCCCCAAATCCTGAGAGTAGAATGGAGGAAAAAGATTACCATGCGGCCATCACCCCCCAGGGGGGGTAAGGAAGGATATCTCACTTTTTGTCTCTCTGTCTCTCCAGCAAGTGCATGCGCCCTGTAACAAAAATCTCTCTAAGAAAAAAAAAAAAAGAAGAAGACAATAATGTTGGCCAGCAGGCGTTGTGGTGGTTAAGGCTCTGGATCCTACATATCTAACTGTGCCATTCTAATTCTGGACCGGCAGCTTGAAAATCACCCTGGGCTCATGTGCCCAAAATCCCAAGAGGAGAACTAGAAGAGAAGGGACTGAGGCATGGCTATCCTCTCTGGGCGATGATTTCTCACCTTCTCTATCTCTGGTGAGCACACACATACTATAGCAAACTAAAAAACCAAAAATGACCAAAAAAATAAACTATAGTTTTACTCTCACAAATCTGAGCTCTCACAGGATCAAGTTCTATATAGTAACTATATAATACTATAACCATCAAAGAAATTGAATTTATCATTGAACCTCTCTTGTCTAAAAAAAAAGTCCATGCCTAGAGGATTTCTCTAGAGAATTCTACCAAACATTTAAAGAGCAATTGACACTAATTTTATATAATTTCTTCTAGAAATAGAGTAAGAAGGAACAATTCCAAACATACTTTGCGATCAGTATTTTCCTGACACCAAAACCAGACAAATCGTAAGAAAATTGTGGAACAATACCTCTCATGAACTTGGATACAAAAATCTTCCAGAAGTGTTAGCAAAGCGGATCCAACAGTATATTAAAATAATGATACACTGTGACTAAACAGGATTTATGTCAAGTACATAAGTTGGTTCAACATTTGAAAAATCATCAATGTAATATATCAATAAGCTTAGAATATGATCATATCTACTGATGTGGTAAAAAGCATATGAAAAATAATCTGACATCTATTTATGACAAAAACTCTCAGCAAGTTAGTAATAGCAGGCATGACCTCAACTTATTCTAGGCAGGAATGACCTCAACTTATTCTAGAACATCTACAAAAATCATCATGATTGACAGAGAAAGTCTAACGTTTTCCCTCTAGGATGGAGAACAGGCAAAAATATCTGCTGTCACTGCTCTTATTCAACATAGTATAAGAAATTCCAGACACTGCAAACACATAAGGTAAGAAAAAGAATACAAGGCACACAGATTAGAAAGGAATAAGGGAGGAAGGTGGGAGTGGACGTAAAAGAGAACTCCAAGGATCATTGTGATGTTTGAACCATTCAGGCTCTTGATTGTGTTGGTAGACACACAAACCTACCTTTGATAAATTATCTAGAACTAAATATATACACAAATGGGAACTAATAAAAATGGAGAGTGAGAACAGAAAAACGGTGAGATAGGAAAGAAAAGGTAAAGAATTTCATCTCAGATGGTCTTGACCTCTGCAGATGTCATTTGCTGGGAGCATAGTAAACCTGAGCACCAAAGGGTACAGCACAAAGTAGAGTGACAGATGGAGACCTACACTGGAGCAGAGGTAAGGACAGAAGCTAAGTCACCCCCAGAGTCTAGCTGAGACAGAGAGAGGGCAGCTGGAGGAGAGAGTGGCAGCCTTGAGTGACTAAAATAGAATATATCCTAATTTTAACTCTTCCTATAAAGGGAGAATATACAGAATATTATAAAATGTAGAAAATTGTAAAAAAAAAAAAAAGCCACATTCCTACACATAGAGATAATAACTTTCAAAATTACATCTTTCCTCCAAGGTCTTTTCTCAGCTAATATAGTACAAATGTATTTTTATAAAATTTGGATCTCATATAGTTTTCTTTTTTTTTAACTTGTTACATGGTATGTGAACTTACCAGAGAGAGAGAGAGAGAATGAGAAAGGGGGATGACCACACCTCAATCTCTCCTCCTCGACTTTCTTCTTGGAATGTTGGCTGTGCACACACATGTGCCAGGCATGTCTTCCAAGCCACCATGTCCAGGACTCGAATAGCACAGTTGGTCATGTGGGATCCAGCCACCTTAACCACTAAACCACCAGCTGGTTCAATTTTCTTTTTATTAAGACAGGGAGGGTCTCACTATGTCTCATTCTATGCCTCAGTCTCTAAAGTAGTTAGGATTACAGGTAGACCACTATATCTGACATTAAGGGTAGACCAGGAATCAAACCTGGGCCTCCTGAGTGGCCTTAGCGTGCTGAGTAGCAGTGTCAATCATCATGCACTACTATGGCTAGGTCTTATACAATTTTGTATGCTTTTTCTTTCTTTCTTTTTAAAAATTTTTTAAGAGAGATTTTGCCATAGTGTCTATGTGCTCACCAGAAAGACAGAGAGAGACAGACAGAAAGTGAGAAATCACCCCCAAGGGGATGGCCATGCAGTAATCCCTTCTCCTCCATTCTCCTCTTGAGATTTTAGGCATGCATACACATGTGCCTGGCATGAGTTTAAGCTGCCGAGTCTGGGACTTGAACAACTGCATTTCGAGTCCAGCAACATAACCATTATGCCATCTGCCGGTCCTTATTTTTGTTTTTTCATCTAACTTATATCATGACCATTTTTTTCTTAAAATTTTTGATAACAGAAGTTTTGTTCCTTTAATAATTACAAAATATTTATTATATTAATCATTCCATGTTTTTTCTAATCCTCCCCATTAAGAACATTTGAATGCTTTTCTTTTTTATTTTTTCCAGTTACAAATAGCTGTACCAAGGCTCCTTGTGCATAAATATTTGTGTATATCTGTGATTATTTTGCCAGGACAGCTTCATTAGCTAACATCTTCCAGACATATCAGTTGGCCTGAGAGCAGAGAAGTAGTCAGTCTGAGTTAACCATAGGGAGATAATGGAAAGCCAAGGAGCTTAGAAGGGTTGGGTGAAATGCTCCTTGAGGGGGTCAGGAGCAGAATGGGATAGGAGACATTAAGGGAGATTAAGGAAGGAGGTAAGGAAAGCTGGCTAAAGAGCAAGCTCAGTATGAACCAGGAGTGACCACCTATCTAGGACTGAACTCTCTGCCTATTGGACCCAGAGTTCTTCTTCCAGCTAAGGCTTCACCCATATTCTGTAGGCTACTTTTTGCCATGCATTATCAGTATCTCTCAATGACTTATCTTCTTGGGGCAAGCAGATTACAAACACTCTTACATATGGCGTTTCTTGAAGATCTGGCTCTGCCCTAGCCCAGTGCTGGAGAAAACAGTGGTGCATACCTCTTTGACAAGTGACTTACTGGCTGATGGGTTGTTAATGAGACACATGGAAAGGAATACTCACTGTCTTCATGGGTCCATACAAGCTGAGGAGTACTTGGAGGCCCATCACCTGGAGTTGTGAAACACAGGACTGATGTGAAGTAAGCAGTGAACTTCTTCAAGTTGGTTATATATCCATGGTGGACACCATGGAAGTCTGGAGCAATGGTAACCACAGTGACAGCCTCAGGGACATGTGTTGGCCATGCTAGGAGCTGGGATAGAACAGGTTGAGAATGAGATCCTTTTAAATTATATTTAATTGCTCACATCTTTATCAGAATTTTATCTGACAATTAATATGTCTTTAAAGAAATCAGGTCATAATTAAGAAAGTCCATAAATCCTACATCTTACGATTTTACTTCAAAATAGTCAAGGCCCAACTGAGTTGGCTTAGGTAGTAGGGCACCACTGTGTGATACTGGAACCATATGAGAGGCCCAAGCTTAGATCCCAGGTTGATTAAAAAATGCCAGGTATGCCCACGTCATCATGATCTTGGTAGACTGGGAAGCATATTGTGATGCATTGAGACCCTATCAAGGATACCTATGTCATTCTGTCTTTACCTTTCCCCCCCTCTCTCTCTTGCACAAAATAAGTAAATAAGGTTTTCTTGAAAGTTGAGTTTAAAAGATATCTCATAGATTATTTCATACCAACATGTATATTTATATATATTTTTAATTTATATTTACCTAAATAAAATCTCTAAATTAACTCTTTTTGGAATAATGAACACTCTCTCAAACCTTTTCTGTTAAGATTTCTATAGAGTATATATATATATATATA